TTTAATGTTTATAAGAAAACTATAGACAAAACGTAAAGGAAATGTAATTCCACCACAAAAGCTTAAGAGTAGAATTAGAAGTAGGTGATCTTCAAGATTATACTTTGTCTAGATTAACTACAGTATACAATTTCATGCCCTATAACATAGAAATGCTATCATGCTATTCTACAAATTAAAAATATTAGAAATATAAATTATGCTAAAAATACATAGCATATTAGCAGTCAGAATAACTTAGAGTTGAAAGGAGAAGTGAACTAAATTTTGTTGATACTTAATAATCATTTTGTGATAAATTTATTCAACATTTTAAATTTAATGTATTAACTATTATGTCACCTTTGAGGAAAAAAGTCAAGAAACCTTATACCTATTTGGTTTTTAAGTTGTACATTGTAATTATATAAAATCCAAGTGAAAACTGATTTCCTACCTTAGATGAATTAAAAAGCGCACTGGTGAATGAACTACAACCAGCTCGAGCTCTGTCGGAGAGAGGATGTTTCCAACTTGCCCATTACTTGCAGAATGAGAGTGAACGGCCTAGGCTTCACCAGCTATGCCTGGAAGAGAAGGCTCTCCCGTGTTTGGCCTTGTCTCATGTTTCATCCCCTTGTATTAGCAACAGGCGCATCTAATTTTACCCAGTGACATAAACAGCTCATACCACACTTACAACTGGGCACCAATTCCAGGACACAGCTCTAAGCACGCCAAAAACAAAATGCTTCCAAAACCAACATTTAAACCCTGAATCATGATGCTCAACTTTCTAAATAAAACTTTACCTTACATAAATAACAAAAAACTCTGAGACTAGTTTCCAGTACAATCTAATATCGACAAAATCTCATGAAAAATCACTTCAAATTAACACAAAACATTTAGAACTTAGGACTTTATTTGTATGAAATGTATATTATTCTTATCCAAGTAAACTGCCTATTACCATACGATAGTCACTCTTTAAAAATCACTTTCTTTAAGCCTCTTTTTAAGTGAAAAACTTTAATATTTGAGGAGACAACCTTAAATATGATCATCATAATAAACAGAAGGTAAAGGAACTCTACATGTTAAAATTCTGACAGTTCTTTCCTAGTAAACTAAATTTATATTATGTTTAAAAAATTATGTGAATGTAACAATGTGATCTTGGTGTCTTTAAAAAGAATAACAATTGGGTCATTTGACTTTTATAAAGTGTAAAGAAAATAGACTAAATATCAAACTTTTGAATAATCTTAACCTTTTATTTTGCATTATTTTTACATAGCCTGGTTAGCAGCATGAATTAAAAATGACTAAATATTTGAAATTTGTATTTTAGCACTAAACCTTGAATATGAAAAGCAATGTAATGATAATCCATACGCTTAATTTTTATTTTATTTTCCTCTCAGGAGACCTTTTCTCTGATTCTATTTATTCGTACTCGAACTTCTTTTGAAATTTGATGCTTCTTTCTCCAACAGCTGCAGGCCTTAAATTAAAAGCTGATACAGCTTCAACTAATCACACATTTATTTATAAGACACTTAAAAATCTGTCATGAATTCTCTGCATATTACTATTTTCCTATCATGGCAATTCAGTTAGACACAAAATTATAGCAAAACTATCAATTCTTAACAAAAATATATAATATATTTAACAATGATGATAAGAGATGTTTTTCCATACCACTACATGTCTGAAAACTCAAAATTTGAAACTCCTGACTCCATATTCTGGTTGGAATATCATACATTTAAAGGTTACATATTGAGGGACCTTTTCATCAGTCAGTGAATTGGTTTTATAGCAAGGAACTTTTCAATGTTTTGAGGACTGCTTTGTAAAAATTAGCCAAGTTCTGTATTTGATTTCCATTCACGTTTACAGAGTCATTTAACACCATTGTCTACTTTTAGTCCTGCAGGAGGATGACTTAGAGAAAAAATCTGATTTTTACAGCATAGTTGAAATTATTAAAACAAGATCTTCAACGTTAATCCAGCCTAAGTTTGTAATTCACATACACACATCAATGTTTTCAAAGGAATCATAACATTTTAAAGCTATCAGAGGCCTTGAAGAAAACCTAGTCTAACGCTCTACCAGACGTAAAATGGTTTGTTCCAGGTTACAAGTTGGTAAGGGCATGGATAGGAGGGAGTCTGAAAGTCCTTTGGCTCTTGTGCTTCTAAGCACAGTCCTACCTACCCATAGGATCCTTCTAGAATTCGCACCATCCTCCCTCTGGCCATCAGTTAGCAATCCTGCTCTCCTTCTGGTTTCCTCTCCACCAACTCTGGATTCTGCCCGGGGGCAGACAGCCCTGCTGTTTGCTGCGTAACTTAAGAGCTTGGGTTGGAGCAATGATCATTTTTAGAACTAGTGAAAATAGGACATTTCTGGTAGGGATATGGTTTGAACTACTTACTTTTATTTTTGACATGAAGGAAGGTTATCTGTGGAGGAAGAATGGTGATAGGAAATGAGATAGTTCAAAATTTGAAAAGAATAGAGAAGTTTAAAGTAGTTGCCATGAAGAGCTGGGGATTGAATTTATTAGTGCAATATACGAGACCACGTTCAGGCCCAGCCAAAGCTGTAATAGTTCCTGTAACTGCAGCGCTGAGCTCCACAACTAAATCCCCCAAAACCACCTCACACTTTCCTCCAAAACGACACTCATTGTCTCCCCAAACCTGCTCTTCTGCCCATCACTCCTTTCTTGGTTTATGACTCCATCCTCCACAAGGTCATGGAAGACAGGTCTGAGAATCCCCCTCACTAATTCGCCTGCCAGTCACTAAGCTCCCCAGTGTCTCCTGCTCTGCCAGCTCTCTCCAGCCCCGGGTCCCCGGGTCCCTGCCTGACTGGAGGACACACCATCAGGCCTAGCTTGTTGCTGTAGCAGGTACCTGCCTCCCTGCTTCCGGGTACTGCCGCATTCCATCCTACACTCCTGAGACCACCAGAGAAACGCCGACAAGAGGTAATTCTGTCCATATCACTCCTCTGCTTAAAGCCCTTCAGCGAGCCTTCAGGATACAGTACCAAGTTCTTGACAGGGCACACACCTTTATGATTGGGCCTTGTCCATCTGTACTGTCCCTTGTCCTTTAGGTTCCTTTAGGAAACCCCAAAAGTCACAATGTTGTTGGGTGCCTGGCTACATCTCTGACTAGGGTTACCTCCCATCTTTTCCTGCTGGAGAACTTCTATTTAACTTTTAAAAGACTGTTCACATGTCACTATCAGCTTTTTATACATGTTTTTAAACTTATTATAACTATTTGCATTTACATTGCATCCTTGGTTTATATACCTGTTCTCTCTACTGGACTATGAACTCCTTGCTCAGCACCCAGCTGTGGTGAACCCTCAGTTAATTGAAATTTGAATAGTTACACCAGACTCAGTGTTTTTATGACATCAATTCCAAGGTGTATGGTAACATTAAAAAGAAATAGAGCTAACATATGATCAGGATGACATTACAAGAATTATCCAGAGAGGTCAGTATAACAGTAACGTAAGTATGCCTTCCAGTGTAAATGAAATATGAAATCAAATTATCTTGTAAGTGATAAACTTGAAAGCTTTTAAAGTACCATGTCAATTATTTGCCCCTCCAATTGAAGTTACACTTCTTCAAAACAGATGGCCACAGACCTTTCATGTGAGCAAAATGAAGTGATTGAATGATTCTATACACTACTAAAAGCCAGAGTTTTCATCTGGAATGTAATTAACGTAATTACCTGGATGATTCTCACCCAGATTCTCTGATTGTTTTTAAATAGAGATCATCCAAGTGAACCCATTTTAACAAAGATAATTCCTATTTCCTTTAGAGCTGCCATATCCATAAAAAAATGAAACTGATTACTAGACTACTGAATGTAGGTATTTTATGTTTTTCATGGTACTTTTGGGGAGTTTAGGACTCAGTATTTAGTATAAGGCGCTAATTCAGTGTTGTCAGGGAAGACAGGGAAAAAAACCTTTGAGATGCTGGAGAAAGGAGTAAGAAAGACTAAAAGAAAAAGAAAACTCTTAAATTTCAGACGAGAAAATGGAGTACTATCTGAAATTTCAAAGGTTATCCACTGTTAATCACTGAATTGGGTCATAATATTTTAAAAGTATCATTCCATAAACATACAACTTCACATAATTCACAGGGAACAGATATTGCAACTCCATTAAGTACAGACTTGTAGTCAGTGGTTCTCAGCTCGGGCAGGGATGGAGTGTGGCGTGTGCTTATCAGAATCACAGGAAATGCACTAAGAGTAACGAGCAAAGCAGAACTGGCGCACGTTACAGAGGGAATCCATCAGAAGGGCTTATAATAAAATCCCTGCTGTCTCCTGCTCCTCCCGTGCCATCTCCACTTCCTCTGGTCAGAGGTCATTGCTTACATTTCCCTTCTCATCCTTACTTCTAGCCGGTAAATAAACTTATATTGCTACATCTCGATTTATTAACTCTAGACCTCGTCTATCGGTTTAGTTTATGTACATTATCACACAGAGCCCTCTTCTCCTTTTTCCTATGTAGTTTTATCATTCATTTCAGTTTCTTCTGTGGTCACCTCTGAGATTTCAAATGGTCCACTTAAATATTCATTTCTTGTTCCATAATGACAGAGATATCTCTTGATCCTTCTGCTCTCCTTCTGAGGTCATCAACACTCCTATGCCCCATTTCCCCCTGTGCCACAGTGCCTGCCACTTCTGTCTCCTGCCCTCTGTCACTTTCCCTTTACGTTTACATGATCACATTTATGTTCCATTTTGAAATTATAATCTCCTATATCTCCTGTGATGTGACCAGGTTGATTTAATAAGAATGCAATAAACAGTGTTCACATTTTCACAACTATCTAACTATATTTTCTTTCAGAGAAAAACACCAATTTTACAAGCCCAGTGGCACTCATGGTTTCTATGACCAGTTTTGAATGGAATCTACTTTTTAAAATATGCCTCCAAATATTCTGAGGCATTTGTTGTTGGAGTTTCTGAACACCATTTTTTCTTTGTTGTAAGATAAGAAGAAATTTTGCTAAATTTGCCTTCCTCAGCATACTCTAGCTGTCTCTCAGCTTTTATTAATTTAATCTATTATTTGGAATTAATTCCCATTTTTTTCTTGAAATGTACTGTCTTCATTTTCTGATTTAAATAGTTCATATCAAGGTTGCATCATGGCTGTCTTATTTGGCTCACCTCTACCTCCCTTATTCTCTAATCACCTTTTATTTCTTGCATTCTCTGCCTCTATCGTATCCTCAAGCTTTTGCCAAATTTTGCAGAACAGCATCCACCGCACTCGACTGTGCTGTACTCGGCTCCCCCCCCTCCTCCTCAGTCTGCTCTGGCGGCCAGGCCTCCTGCACAGCTATGGCCCTGAAAAGGCATCACTGCTCTCCTGAGCTGGTGAATCCTTCCCTTTCTCTCATGCTCCCTCCTTGCTTACTCCCGTGCTTTAATGGAGTATACTCTCAAATAATTATTCAGAAACCGTGTCTGGGGAGTAGATTGTCTGAGTCCTTTTATGTCTGCAAATTCATCTATTCTGCTCTAAAATTGGTTAATAGTTTCATTTGGTATAAAATTCTGGATTTAAATAATTTCCGACTAAACTTTGAAGTCCTTGCTCTACTGACATCTATTATTAAGAGCTCCTGCAGAGAAGCGTAATTCTAGTCTGATCTGCATTTCTAGTTTACCCTGAGTAAGATGTATTACTATTTAAAGGTACCTGTGTGTGTCCTTTGGTAAAATTAATATTCTCCCCAATTTATTTCCTTTTACATTCATCCAGCATTTCATATATCTGACTTGATTAAAGAGACAATAGCATGCATTTATAAAATATAAGTGCATTTGTTCCTATTGTAAAGTAGTAATTATCAAGTAAGAATACTCAAGTTACATTTCATGGATGTTCTTAAAATTTCAGAGGGTAGTAAAAGTTATGAAAAGAAAGATATGCAGTATAAGATAAATTTGGAGGAAAAGAGCAGAATTGAAAAAGCGAATATTGGGAGTCTGGGTATGGAGGAATAGGGATATCCATGCCCAGGGACTTTGAAAATATGTCAGGCACTGAAAATTTGTGAAAACAGTCATTTATATAAGGAACACTTACTCCTTCTATGAAAAGGTTCGTTCTATTGTAGTAACATTCCCGGACTCTCTAACTTTTACTCATTTTTTCCTGGGGGGAAGTGGATTAATTCATCTCATCAGTGAGTTGGAATAAGAAAATAGACCTGTATGGTACAATTCCTCGGTCTTCAGGGACCTTCATGCCTGCAGAGTAGAGTTTTTACACTGATCCTTCATGCTGTAAATTTCAAATGCATCCTTCCAGGGGGACCTGTGATCACCCGGAGCTGCCTAAGGGGTGGGAGGGAGGGTCCTTGTCGGGAATGTAACATGAGGAAGTCCACTGCTGCTGTCACCTAGGATATATTTTCCAAAGGCTCTATTTGTAACAAAAATGACATTTAGACCCTCATTTGCCTCATTTCTTTGTCTCTCAGTTGGTTCAGAACTTGGACAGTAAATAGATGATTTTTCTCAATCTTCTCAAACGAAAACATCAGCATTTAACAATCACACATCTTTGTTGAGGATCTACCACGTAACACAGGCTATTCTATGTTAATATCTAGCCTTCTCTAACCCTTCTCTCCCAACTTCCTTTCTTGTAAGGCCGGTACCCTCCTAAGCACCTCCACGATGCTCACAGTATTCATCACAGACCTATCTGTAACTGTTTATTTACTTGTCTATACGCTGTTCATCCCTCACTTGATCTTAAGCTTGAGGGCAAGGACTGAGTCTGGATACCTATAAATCTGCAGCCTCTAGATACTCATTAAATATTTGCTAAATGAATGAATTAATAAGTAAACCATGCTTTCCGTGCTTAAGCAGCTTTCTTTTCAGTTGAGAGGCAGATAGCTAATTACTCAATACTGTGGTTAGCACTATAGTTTGGGTATTAACCAAGGGCTATAGAAGCACATAAAGGAAAACTTAATTCTATCTGGAAGAGACCGAGTGGTAGTTGATTCTCCAACAGCAGAAATCATCATTAACTCAATCCTTTAAAAATTTCCAATATTTGTGCATGTTTCAAATGTATTTAATATTGACATAACAATACATGTACACAATTTATAAATGTGTAAGTGTCAATGCATATTGAGATATGTTCCCATCACTCTTCTAAGTGCTATTTTTTATTAACTCACAAATAAGTTTGGAGGCCACTAACCAAAACCCTGAAACAGCTACAGACTTTGCTCCCTGAGAAGAAGAGGGAGAAAGAGAAGCAGCACCACATATTTAGAACTTGTTAGACACCCCCCTGGGAAGCCTCCTGGAGCAGGCATGAAATGACGCAATATTGCAACTGTGAGGTGCTTCAGGCAACGGAGGCAGAGATAACGTGGGGTTAATCTGTGAGTAAGAGTATGCAGAGATGACTTGTGTGGTCAGATATTCAAGTCCAAAGGCAATCTTTCCTCTACAGGAAATCTTACTCTGATTTTCTGGTATGAGCTTCAACTCTGGCCTCCTGAATTTTATCTTCAGTGTTAATGACTTTGATTCAGTCCCTAGATTCCCCAAATCAGGGTCACATTCCTGATAGCCTCGTTGGCTTGACAGCTTGGCTAATGTCCTGAGTCTGATTCTGATTAACATGACATGATATTAAACTGAAAATCTTCCTTACTTCCTCCTTCCCTTGAGATAATATAAACAAATGGCCAAAGATTCCAGGCTTTGGGGTCAGCTGAGTTTTAAATTCAGCTTTTTCACGTAATAGCTGTTTAATGTTACATAAGTTAATTATCTTCTTTAATGGTCTGTTTTCCACTATTAATGCAGGGGATAATATCATCTCCCTCTTTAAAACTAGAAAAATAATTAAATGAGATAATGTACAAAAGGCGCTTCATACATAGTAAAACACATATAAATGGTAGCTATTTACAATTATTTCTTAACACTGAGAGAGTTTATCAAAAAGAAATAAAATATATGAATCACAGATTATGAAATATGCAGCCTTTATGATAAAGGTATTTTGGCTCACTTAATGATATACCTAATATGATAAAAAAGCATTTTGACTTAATGTTATACCTAGTCATTAATGTGCTCAATTAGTAATTAACTTTCGTAGGCCAGACAATAGCACTTGTACACAATCAAACTAAATTATCTTTTTTTTCTTTCAGTTTAGCTTTCTGGTATCCCAATCAACATCATCTGTCAACAACTTCCCTTGATCTGATGTATGCAGTTTAGCAGTCTTGACAAACACAGGGATACTGTCATTGTCTGAAAGCTACAGATACTGGAATTCTTGTGCTACTGAACTTTACCTGCTTCTGCCCATCATCCTGCTCATTTCACTTCCTAAGTATCCCTGTGCTCCTGACCTCTTACCCTCACCCTACTTACTGAGAAATCTTCAAAATTCTGTTTTTTCAACAACCTTTTTTTCACTGAAAATGTGTACTTGGATACTAGAGGGACCATGACAATCGAAATGCTATGTCACGAGGTCAGAAGGGTAACAGCAAGGGGGACCTGGGGGAAAAGACAATGGTGAAGAGGATGACAATAGGAAGAGGGGAAGAAATAATGAAGTTTGCCTGGATCCATCATGGTTAAAGACTTGTAAGCACGGCTATTTCCAAGTCATCATGTTGTAAACTCAACATATTTTTATCATCCCTCCCACTTCTCCCCAAACTTTCTTCTCTACTATTTTCTCTCTTAGTGAATGGCATTGTCATTTGCCAGTTGGCCACGCCAGAAATCTTACATAGCTTAATTTGAATCATCTCAACTAATGTGTATATTCGTCCCTCAATAAGCAAATGATCACCAAGTTTGTGCTTTTTTTTTTTTAATTGGAGAAGGAGGACTGCAATAAAATAAAAAAATGGATGTTGGCCTAAACACATCATATACATGACCCAGCCCAGCCGCTTACCATGAAAGAAATAAAGCTATATGATATTAGATTCTACATAATTTCATAATGCTACATAATTACATAATTTCACAATATGCATTAGATTCTACATAATTTCAGCAACCAGAAGAAAATCTTGCAAAGCCACAAGTTTCTCCACTGTAGCACAAAAATCCCACCTGTTCACTAATATTTGAAAAGAAGAAAAAATTTTGCATTGAAAAATGAGAGATTAAAAACTTAAAAATGTCTTTAAAATGAACATCTTGGTTCAAAAAGCATTTATAAGTACATGCTTGGTTGTTTTGTTTGTTTTTATTTTTATAAGTTTGGCTTTTTTAGATTCCACATGTAAGTGATATCATACAGTACTTATCGTTCTCTCTGACTTATCTCACTTAGCATAATGTGCTCAAGGTCTGTCCATGTTGTTGCAAATGGCAGGATGTCCTTCCTTCTCATTGTGGAATAATATTCCATTGTGTATATATACCACACCTTCTTTATCCATTCATCGTTGATGGGCACTTATGTTGTTTCCATATCTTGGCTATTGTGACTAACGCTACACTAGATATGGGAGTGCATATATCTCTTGGATATTCTGTTTTCAACTCCTTTGGGTACATAGCCAGAAGTGGAATTGCTGGATCATATGGTAGAAGTAAGTATGTGCTTGATTTTTGTTTGTTTGCTTCTCAACATGCATTATCTCCACTTCTTGTAAAGACACTTGGATTTTCTTTTTGGGGAATCAACCCTGCGCCACTTTCGGTCTATGTTAGGTCAAGTCAAATCAACACCATTCCCAGGTGACTGGGAGGTTGTGTGATTTCCGCCAGGCTCACCAGAGCATGGCATTCTCTTGGCCACACAGATTATTTTAGAATGACTCCAAGCCAATCAGGCTCAATCAGAGCAAATCCCGTGACCTTTTTGTCAGCAACCAGGAAGACATATTTTCTTTTCTACTTGACTAGAATTTGATAGTGATTTGAGCATGG